CCGTCTGCCACATGTTTCCGGGGACATGTGGCAGAGCTTGGGACTCGGACGCGACGTTGGCGTCCATCGGAGGTCGTCTTTCTCCTGCGTCTCGACTGGGATCGGCCACAGTTGGGCGCCATCCTTGCGGGGCGGCAGCGTCCGGAGGTACGGTACCACCGGGCCCTCTCGTGGGGGCACCGGGCAGCCTTGCGGCCATGGTACGTTCCAGGTCACGGGCACGCTGCCGCGTGGACTCCAGCTCAGCGGTGAGGTGCGCGAAGGCACCAAGTTGCTCCGCCGAGGGGGGTTGACGAGCGTCAGGACGTCTCGATGAGGTCGGCCTCGCGGGACGACCTTCCCCATACGTAACGGGGTTCTCGGGACGCGAGTCTTCGACGAGCACCAGTCGCGATTGCAACTGGTCGACCAGTGCTCGGAGATTCTCCAGCGACTGGGTGACACGGTCGAACCTCCCCTCGCGGATGGATCGGAGCTCGTCCATGCAGCGCGAATAGACAGCGTCCGTAACGTCGATGCGGAGGGAAGTACGGACTTCCTCGATGTAGTCTGCGATGCGGTCGAACATCGCAGCCGCTTGTCCTTCGGGGGACTCAGGCGACGGTTGGCGGTCTCGGAGACCAGCGTCGGCGTCGCCGAACGGCGGTGATGGGGCGTGCATAGCGGCCGCCTTCGGATCCGCCGGTTCGGAGCAGATCGAGGGGGCGTATTCTTGACTCATCTCGACGCGTACGGACGCGGAGGAAAAAGAAAGTCTTCTCGGAAAGATCTCGGGGTCTTCTAGGTCGGGAGACCACTGTAGCATAAACACCCCTAAACGGATAGGGGTGTATGCTTAGTCCTGGAAGACCCGTACGTACGAGAGGACGGGGGAAGTCGGACCAGCTAACGAAACCGGAGCACGGGCCCGGGTAGCGTGGTAGAGCGGGATCGGGGGGAGGACGCGCACACGCGCGGGCCGATCTACGCCTCGACGCCCCGGAGCAGCGCTGGGTTACGTTCCAGCGCTGACGGGCGGAGGTGGATCTAGGCTCGCTCGCGTGCTCGCGCGTCCTCCACCCGCGCTCGGTCTCGCCTTAAGGTAGCTAACGGAAGCTTCCTTAAGATAAGCTGGAAGTCAGACCTAGGCGGTAGGTCGTGGACAAGTCCGTGCTTGTCCCCCTCGCCGCCGCCGGTCCGCTCCGTCATTTAATGTACAATTAGTCTATCGTAACTTAGTACAGTACGTACTGTACTATGGGGCACTACTGTAGTCGGCACTGTCAGCCGACGGGGCTGACTGTATACGTGTCGTACACGTATAGTACACGTGGGGGCGCGTGCCCCCGTACACGTGTGGTACCGGCTGTCTGTAAGGTTCGTGCCTTACAGAGCCGGATCCAATTTCTAATCTAATTCTTTTGTAGTTATACTACAGCCGGAACCGCTACGGAACAAGCCCATTGTTAGTAACTTGCGTCATTCTGCGCCGTCTTGCTTCGCCGAACAGATGGAGAGACCTAGAAAGACTTTTTGCTCTGCACACACCGCATCTGTCAGAAATATTTTGGGAGGGGCTTTCTCAATTCGTGTCGGTGCGTGTTGATCTAGTCATGAGCATTCTACACAAGCCCTTTTGGAAAACTCGTTTCGAGGAGTATGCAGAAGCGGTGGGTATTAAAGTCAGGGGCTTGAGAATGTTGTTGCATTCATCGATGGAACGAACTTGGCTGTAGCTCGACCAAGTGGCCTGGATATCGATCAGCGTGTTGCTTATAGCGGGCATAAACGGAAACACGCTATCAAATTTCAGGCCTTAACTACACCGTGCGGTCTCGCCATGCATCTGTCTGGTCCTTTAGAGGGCTGGCGTCACGATTGGACTATGTATATGCGAAGCGGGCTTGACTCAACACTACAAGAGGCCTTTTTCCATCTTAACCGGCAATTTTTGGCCTATGGGGACTCTGGTTATAGCTCAAGAGTATTTTTGTTCTTGCCCTTTTTGGGATCTAATCTCACACCAGGACAAAGAGCCTTTAACACGGCTATGACGAGGTCTCGCGTGACGATTGAGTGGTATTTTTAGGGAAATTAAGAGGTACTGGACGTTTGTGGACTTCAAGCGTATGATGAAATTGAAGGAAAGCTCGGTGGGAATGTTGTATATCGCAGCTGTTCTTCTCACCAACTCCTGTAACTGCATTCACCCAAATGCTATTTGGCAATATTTCCACTGCGCGCCTCCTGCCCTTGAGGAGTACATGATGCACGGGGATGATGCCTGACCCACAGAGCGCAGCGCCAGAGGGCTTCCCCCCCTTTGGGGGACACCGCCGCTATGGAATGGGGGACCAATACGTGTCCGTGACGTCGGCGTTCTGGCGTTTGCGCATCGACTGCATGTAAGAAAACCGGATCGACGTTGGCGTCGCCATGCCGTACGCTTTTCGCTTCGCCACGGCCGAAAAATGGTCATCGTGGAGCCTCGATTGATTTGGAAGATTGTCGCTCGCGGGAGAGAGGCTCGCTTACTACCTCCATGGAGTCAGATGCGCGAAGGGGATGTGAGAGGCGTGCTGTATGACGTGGAGGGGAGGCGGCAGTCAGATGCGCGAAGGGGGTGTGAGAGGCGTGCTGTATGACGTGGAGGGGAGGCGGCTGTCGTTCCTGAACAGTGGAGCGTGTAGGGGCGATGTGGACGTGCACGGCTGGGGTGAAGGCAGGGTGTTCTTGGGGCCGTTCGTGTACTGGCCGTACCACGAGGGTGAGTCCGTTACACTGGTAAAGGTTGGGGCTGCGGTGAGCGTGGCGGCTGTGCTCGTGGACGCAACGGCGTGAGGAGGGCTATGAGGTTGGCATGCAATGGGCTCGTGATCAACCAGACGTGGGAGCAGCGGTTGTGGTACGTAATGCGGATCGACGAGGTCAAGCGCGGGAGTAGGTGGCATGTAGGGCGTTTCGATACTGGAGAAACGTTTACTCGCTGAATACTCTTGTTACTCGTTCGTTTTCTTTGTTTGTTGCTGCGAGTGGAGCGTCGTTACCAAAGAAAATACGGATTGCATTTGCTTCCCTGTTTGCTCCATCATGCCGCTCATTGAGTCACGATAAGCTGCGAGCTCGGTTGCGCGCTGCGCGCGCTCTTCAGCCCTTTCCTTGCGGTCCTTCTCGCTCTGGTCCAATTTATGTGTAGCTTTCTCGCGCGCAAAGTCTAACTTCTTTTGCTCCATGTCGAAACTGGCCGCTTCTGATTCGCGAAGTGTGAGCCCTATGGATTGCATGCCATCACCCACAGCCAAGCGTCGTTTTTTCGAAAGGCTCTCCTCGTCCGAACTGATCTTCTGTTCACGTCTTTGTTTACCACGCAGTGCATTGAGCACTACATCTTGTCCTGCAGCGATCTTTTGGCGCTCCTGATCAGCACGTTCCTTCATATCTCCATCCTTTCGGGCCCTAAGGTCCCTCTTTGCTTCTATTATGTCCCCCAATAGCTCATCGAGCTCCCTTATCTCACCTCCAACACCAAAAAGAACACTGTCTTGCCCATTGCGCTTGGCGTACTCGTCGAGCAGCTTCTTGAATCTGTCTTGAATGTGTTTTCCCGTGACTTTGTGCGCGAAATTTGGGTTTGCGTTGGCATCCAGAGCCGCGGTCTCGAAGCGGGAGAGCGTCTCTTCATGCGGGGCTACATATGCCTGGGAGGCAAAGACTTCTTGCGCGATAATTAGATCTTCTGTGCCCGCAAATATGGACTTGCGACCCGGCTTGGACTCTCGACGACGATTGTCTGTAGGGGTGGAAACTGGCGTCTCTCCTGGTGACTTTTCGGGGGTACCTGGAGCGTCCTCAGGGGAAAAAACGGTAGCCATGGCGCGAGAGGAGCTGAGGCTGATGTGTTTTTTGGCGTGTGCTGGTTTTGATGTGCTTGCAATTGGTTTCCCGCCAGCTGTGTTTGTGAAACGACCTCACAAACGCACCATATTTCACCATTGTTCGCCAGGCTTCATTTGTGAATTTCACAATTGGCTTTCACACGTGGACATGTATTTGGGAGCTTACGCTTCCCCACAATTCTGTGAAAATCCTTTCAAATATAATCTACACGTGTCCGAAAAATCTGTTCACGATTTTGCTCATGATGCTTGCGCGGTAGCTAACGCCGTAGATCAGGATGGGAGTAGTACAGCCGACCCTTCAACGACAACTATGAGACAAAAAGACTTTACCCTCACCAAATGCAAAGGAAGAGCTCTCTTTCGCGCTGTACTCGTAGTAATTGGCAAGCAAAATGTTACATACAGCCGCTCAACTTTCGTATTTGTATCACAGCACGCGTTTATCGGTGTCGTGTCTCGATTTGAGATATCGCCTGATAGAGCTCTCCCATCTCCCCTCCTGCGATATCTGATAGACTGCTGTTTCTCTTATCGTCCACGTCAAATTCGTCCTGCAGTCGTTTTTATCTTTCCTGTACGGCTTTCCAAATCACCTTCTGCGACATATGCGGGTTCTGATTAACTTTGCGAGCAACAATTTCAAACGACTGCTTCACGTTATCATAACCAGCGACATGAGCGCGAAACGCGGCCACTTCACGTACGATGATTAGGTCCTCCTCTGGTAGATACTTCCCTCGCTTCCTAACACCTCGCAGCTCTCTATCATCAGTGTTTCTGGCGTCTAAAACCTCCGCCATGTCGCAGGTGACAGGAAAATCTGAACGGCTGACGGTGTGTTCTGCTGATCAGGACTGATCTTGCATGAAGAAGAGTAACGAAACCTAGAAAGTACGCCAAAACGTAAAGACACCTGTCGTAAAATTCAGGCAGAATTGTCGTGAGCAAATGGTCACTATTCCGCCACTCTGCTCACGTAGAGAACTAGAATTCTGTGAACACTGAAAGCACTGTAATGTTTTGCGCGATTTTTCGCTCATATTTGGCTCATGAACGGCAGCGTAAGCTCCCTATTGAGAGAAAAACGAAATTCATTCACCATATTTTGATTGCGTAAATACTCTATTCTGCAAACAATTCAGCAAAGAACATTACACTGAAATGGCATATACAGAATTCCGCAATGAAGTCGTGACGAAAAATGCTGAAATGTGGGTTTTTAGTGAAGAAGATTTCTGCATGTCGTGATAAATGATAGGGACAGGTGTCGTGTAATTGGCGGTAGTTTGATATAATACATGCATGATACAAGGCTACTAATTCGTTGCTACCTACGCTTGTGTCACCCTTACCCTCCCCCGCCTTGTCCGACCTGACAACCACCACCAGTTCCTTGAGCGCCTCCATCGGATTCCCCCCTCCGCCAAACACAACCTCCCTTCCCACCTTCCCCGCCTCCAGTATCTCTACCGTCGCCCTAGCCGCCTCCACCCTCAATTCTGTCCTCAAGTACGACAACCCAGCGTTCAACGTAGCCGCCATAAACATTGCGAACGGTTTCGCCTCCCTCATCTCCCCTACGCATCTCACACTCGTCTTCCTCCCGCCCTTCCTCACGCCGGCCACCTCATCGCACAGCGTGTCCAACAGACGCGAACTGGTCATGGCGCAACAGGAGGCCGGGTGGAGCAACGAGCTCGCCGACCCGCTCGCGCACACTCCCCACGGGAGAGCCGCGTGGCGCAGGCACAGACCAGTTTCAACAGCTCACGACGTGTCTCGCAGACTTTGCGCAGGAGTGGCACGACAGGCTCACTGCGCACGAACGGCGCGCCCAGGAGCTGCCTCGTCGCATCGGCGACGCGAAAAACGGCGCGCCCATGTGAGAGACGCGCTGGAAGTGGGACGATAGCGCCTTGTAGAACGCGACGCTGGCGAGCTGTTGCGTCGCGCTCGCGGTAGAGTCGGGTGTCATTGTGTAAATAGTACCCTGCGCGACAGCGCCGTTGATTTTCTGCACGGTGAGACGGCGAGGGAGACGGCCGGAGGGGCTGCGGCGAATGGCGGGTGGGACGACGCGGAAGCGCGGCGTCGGCGAGGAACAGCGCTACACAAACGCGATGGCATTACCAGCACCGGAAAGCGCGGTGTGACACTTGCGCAAAGGTGGCAAGCAGGAGCGAACCGGTCTGGGAGTTGAGCGTCTGGTCGGGAGCGGGAGGCACTTCGTGATGGAGGTCTAGATTAGCGGAGATTGCTACGTCGCGGGCTGCTGTGGCTACCCGCCAGAGAGAGGAAGCGAGTGGTGGCGTGGGGGGCCCGCCCACAACCTGAAACGCACATAAACTCTCCGTAAACACGTACAGTAATCGCGATAGTCCTTGATAGCATGTGCTACTTTCATTGCCAAAGCAAGAGTTGCTGTGGTGTGACAGAAGGCGGAGTCAGCAAATGTAGATCGTCTGCAAACAGAATTGCAGAACGCGACTTGCGAAAGGACTTTTTGACGTCTCACCAAAGCTGTGCGATGGTCCTTTTTCCTCCCCCGGCCTATCGCGCAATCGACGGCTACCTCGACCGCCGTTGTTGCGACGATGGTACCGCTCTACAGTGTGTAGTTGTACTGCATGCCCTTTTCGTCTAATACTCCCACGTTTGAAAGTCTACGTTTGAGGTAAACGTTTTATAAAAGTGTTCACAAAATTTTCAGAAATGGATATCAGTAATTGATGATGCAGAATTTCTGCAATTGTATTGCTGAAACTTTCGTTTGCGTAAGCTCTGTAATTAGTGTCTAGGTGACAAGTGGCCTCTCATGCTGAATAATGAGGCCACTTTTTCGCTTCGAAAAGAAATTCAAAATTTACGCAGCTCATCTTTGGTCCATGCTTGACTTGTCCAACTTCGGACGGTGAAGTCTATTGCGATCTGGTACACGCTTGACCTTAAAGTCTTCAACGGAAAATATCTCAAGCTCGACAGAACAAGCACGCAAGATTTCTTCTACAATCGGGAGAGATGTCACTTCGCAGCGAACAGCCTATCTACGAGTCATCCAGAGCACGCTGTGAAAGGGATTTGGTCCATGAGGTGCAACTTCTTACGTTTGATGTGAGCCATCAATACGTTTTGCTTGTGGCAAGTGGTCCTGATCAGTGGAGGCTTCCGGGATTTCTTTCTAAAGAAGTATCTGACAGCTCGATAGAGGGTGTGTGCAGCGCTGCCAAGACAGTAATTGGTATCGAATTTCCGTTTCTTGTTCTTCGACATTGTTACTCTGAGGAGTTGTCCGTTGAAACGCCTAATCTTTCAGCTACTAAGGTCCGCGCCATTCTCGTTGCTCAGTGCCATGAGAAATCTCAAGAAGTGCCTTCTGGATGCAGTTGGGTGGCCATCACCAATGATCACAGAGCGGGTGTCGTCCATGTGTCGCACTCGGAGAAAGAAGCGGAGCAGGCCATTCGGCGAGAACTGGAACAGACCGTAGCTAACGTTACGCCGCCTAGACGGGTGCCTTGGGCCTCTGTTGGATGGTATCAAGAAACGCTTCGAAAGGTGCGCGAAATATTGGATGGACACAATGTGCATGTGATGGGGGAATTGGTTCAGATCCGTGCGTCATCCAGAGGAGCCGTGCTAAGGATCAAGACGAACGAGAGTGATTACTACCTTAAATGCAGTGCATCCACGTCGAACGATGCTGGAGTCACGTCAATAATGTCTAGCGTTGTTCCTGATCTTGTCGCCAAGCCGTTGTTCGCAGATGTGGAACGTCGTCAAATGATCCTTGTGGACCACGGTGACGAGACTAGCTTCTGTGGATTGGAAGATGAAGGGCGTAAGCAGGGCGTAAGAGATCTGGTGCGTCTGCACCGCGCAAGCGCAAAGGTGTTGCCTGATTTGTTGGAGGCCGGACTACCATGTTATTCACCACTGTGGATGCGTGAGAACTTGAACTCACTTTTTCAGTGTAAGGAGCTTTTGCCCATGCTGGAAACGGAAGCAAAACAGAAACTGTCGAGCATCAAGGTGAAGCTGCAAGACGATCTGACAGAACTTATTGATTTGGAAATGCCTACCTGTTTGATACACAATGACACGACCAGTGGGAACCTAACCAGGAAGGGCGCCGATGAGGGTCCAGGGGTCCGGTTTTTCGACTTTGACAGCTCTTTCGCAGGCCATCCTTTGTTTGATGTTGACTGGTGCAACCGATATACCCTAGAGGTCTATGCACAGGAAATGGACATAGCTGACATTGACGGATTGTATAGGTTGATTGGGAAAGTATTCTTCAACCTTGCGCCGCTCGTGGAAGCATATAGATACTTGGATATGGTTAGGGAGGCGGAAGACGGTGCTCCCCGGGAAGACGCCCTTCACTGGCTAGAGGACAGTGTTCGTTCCTTGCTGCCGTGACCGAAGAAGGAAATGGTGACCGCACATTTTTGGGCTGCGTTGACGTGTACGACGGTGTAGTCTGGGGCGAGCCGCTCTGCACGTGGCATCAGCTGTATGCGCTTTATAATGAGTACAAAAGAAGGTGCGAAAGTTTTGGCGGGAGCATCATCGTCAGGACGACAAGTAGAGGAGGCATGAAAGTCTTCATGGCCGGGTGATGCTTGCAAAACAAGAACTGAGTTTTTGTTTTGCATGCATCACCGGGCTATACGAAGCGCTGGTCCATCTTCTGACAACGAGACGTACGCACACTGCACTGCGGTTGCCGCATTCGTACCAGACGGAGCACAAGGAGGGGGCTCGTTGACTGGTCACACGGACAGGAGGCACAGTGTTGGCATCAGTGCGGACGGAAGACATGTGATGTTTGCATCCTGGGACGAGAATGTGAGGGTGTGGGACGTGGATAGAGGGATCACACTTGGTAGCGGGTGGGCAAAGGACTAGGAAGACATCACGAATCGAATTCTGAGGATCGTAGACGTGGGCACTGTGTTGTACAGGACAAACATCGCAAATAACTGTACGCAAGGGAAGAGTTGCGCGAAGGCGAGAGGACGGGTCTGAGGCTGTCCTGGCTCCATTAGAGACTACAGTAGATTCACTGATATGGCACGATCATGTAGTGGTAGTTGCAGCGGTGGCTAATGTGGTTGTTTCCATGAAGGTAGTGGTCTAAATTGCGAAAAGCCATAGACGCTTGCCACCCCCAGGCATTCGTGATGTGTTGCATTGGTGCGTCGTAGTAGTAAGGGGGGAGGGGGGGAAGTCCATTTTGATGTTACGAAAGCTTGGAGAGTCTTGTTTCATGGACGTTGCCAGTCCATATCTTTGTGTGCATGATCTATCAACCAACTTCCCCTCATCACACAGTAAACAACTCTAGGAGTGGGAACGGGCCTGACGTGTGAATGTCGTACGGTTCTTCCGTTGCGAAGGGTTTTCGTTGTCCTTTACTGCAAACAGACGACTAAGAAACCCTCAAGGCTGCCTGCCTCATGCATTTGGACGTAGCTGCAATGCCGCCATCTCGTAGCCGCCCAGCACTCAGAGCTTTTATGACCTGATCATCCACGTGTTACACGTGGGCGTTAGCTTCGATGAAATGGACATCGCTGTCACTCAGATGCACCCTTGTACTCGCGGCCTGCTCCACCGGTCTCTAAAGTTTGTCCTGCGGCGTCTCCACCAGAAACGCATCTCCCCTGGCGCATTCCCAGTATGGCTATGACCCTTCTCCAGATTCACCCACCACCCTATCCTCCGTGGTTCGTTGTGCGCCTCCATCCTCGCGTTCACCTCCTAAACCCCCATCCCGATAACCCACCCGCGGCTCGCGGCTCGTAAACGGAAGAGCCATGCTCGCCCCCAGCCGACGCCAAGCCCCTGTCCCCGCCCTCGCCCTCCCATCCGCCCTCTTCCGCCGCCATACCCACCCTCTCACCCTTCATACCCCCGCCCAAAACTACCCTAACCTTTGCCCCCCCCCCCCCCCCCGCCTTCCTCACATTTCTCGCGTCGCCTTCCTCAGACACCGTCGCAACGAGCACGGAGCGTCTTTCAAGCACGATCTCGGCCACCGTGGACCTCGAATTCAACAACGACTGGCGGAAGGATCTGTGCCGGTGGGCGCTCCAACTCGCATCTGGTTAAAACATCATTGTTGCCCCCTTGTTATCTTGAAGCAAACGGCCACCTAACAATGAAAAACAATCTGAAATCAAGCTACACCCGAATACTGCAAATAGTGCGGTCTGCACTATTTTGGAACGCCAATTCGAAGCCGAGGTGACGGTATTTACTGCGGTCCGCACTAATATTGATACCGCACTAATTAAGTCATTTCCCCTATTAGTGCGGTCCGCAGTAAATAATTCTGTTCTTAATAGTGCGGTCTACCCTAATTCTGTCTGTAATGCCGAATGCAATCTGGACCAATCAGAAGAGTTGAGATTTTTAATGTGTAAGGGTACTGGATATCTCTACGCGCCTTCGCCAACCACCTGGCCCTCATTCGCAATCACAGGAGCTCCCTCAAAATGGTTTCGATGCCTCTGAATTATGTTCTGTAGCTTGGGAAACAATTGTCTTTCCTCCCACTGCCCATTTGTGTTGAGCGCTAAGCCACATCTAATCATGGCTTTCCGTGCGTAGGCTAAACCCTCGCTGTCGCGTTGTGCGTTAACATCCCGAACAGCCGCTGTGGCAAGCTCCAAAAAGTAGTGCTTGCCTGGATTTGGCAACTTGCCAGAAGAAGCCGTAAAAGTCACCTGCCATTACGCGCTCCATTTTGTGCTGGTCCCAACGACAACGCCAAGCATCTTTTAGCTTTTGTATCACAAATGAATCGGCGGGCTGCAGTAAGTCCGTACAGTTCGGCTGGAAAAACCTGACCTCTGTGTTGATTTCGGTCAACGCTTCCAACATTGCCGCAGTCTCACCATGCCCACTGCAGTTGTCCATATACAAAACACGACGCCGGCCGTGCCGAAGCGCCTTAATTACTTTCCGTTCCCTCAGCCACTGCGGCATTACTTCGCGATCCGTCCAACCCTTCAGCCCCGAGCGATACGAAACTCCCGCTACATCGTCAGGAACGCTTTGAATTGGGTAACTTCTCTTCTTGTTCTGAAAACCCATCATTGGCGCTTCGATTCTTGCATCCCTTCCACCAGATATACGTACAATCATTGTCATCCCTTCCGCTCCAGACACTACGTCTGAATACTTTACCTCGGCTTCACCGCAAATTCCCAACGTTCGATGGTTGTCCATGTTGATGACAAATTGCGTTTCGTCAGCATTTGACACATCTTCCTCATCTAAACGTCCTGAACGAAACTCTCGAGCCACAGAGCCAAGATGATACGCCACTTCCTTCTCGATAAAAGCTTGCTTTTCCGGGGAACCCATCAATTTGCCTGTTTGAGCGCGACTAACAATTTCGTTCCGCTCGATAAATGCCTGGATCCAACGCGGTGTGATCATGTACTGAATAAACTTTTTTGACGACGTATCAAAATAATTTAGAAAATATTCATCCCTCGTAGAACTTTTTATGAGCTGTCTCGCAAGATCCCCGAACAGCTTGGCATTGAACTTGAGTCCGGTTTTTCGAAGCCTGTCAAACTCTTCGAGGTGGTCGGCTTGCAGCGCCATTACCCAAGCAGACCTCTTCCGACCGCGGCCAGGCTTGGCCTTTAGATACACCCTTTTGAAGCCACAGCTTGTAACCCTGGTAATTGAGCGCGGCGCGCAAGCCGTCTCGTCTGCTTCAAGGTACTCGAGGCGTGCTTTCCATAAGCGACTTGCCTTAGAATTGTTCGCCTTTTCGTTTCCACGGAGCAGATGGGGAAACTGGCGGACAGCTTTTGAGGCAATGTGTTTAGAACCTGCCCTGGAGACCTCCTCAGACATCCACTTGACAATCCTAACGCGATCTGATCGCGTAAGCACACGTTGGACAGCTCTTGTGCGGACCGCCGAGGGCGCGGCTGTGTTGGGCGGCGGTGCCGGAAGGCCGGAGTTGGGTTGGAGTGTGGCAGATGTAGGCGGATCGGCAGAGGAATGATGGGCATCTACGGTAGCTTCTTGTGTTGAAGCTGCGTCTCTTTCGTTCCGCAGGCGTTCGGAATTTAGGAGGGAAGGAAAAATGGGAGATGCTGATACCGTCATGATACGCAAGCTGGATCTTTCGGACGGCGAGGTGCAGCTTTGATGTAAGAATGGAAAAGGTAAGCCTTTATATGTGCATAACCGAAACACCGCAATGGCGTTTTGTTCCAGATTTGGGTTAGTATCTGTCAAAAATGGCGCGCAGGAGAGCGAATTGGCTGCTTTCTGAGACTGAACTATTAGATGTATGGTTTGCAATTAGTGCGGACCGCAGTAATTGCGCCATCGGCGATAGGCGAGAAACACAATTTACTGCGGTCTGCACTAATTTCGAACCCGCACTATATTTTCACCCGCACTATTTGCAGTATTCGGTGTAGGGTAAAGAGGCTCAAGGAAGTCAAAAGAAAAAATCTATAGAATCCGTTTCCATTGGACAACTGTTGCATGATACAAAAGTAGATCAACTCT